TTTCTAGGGTCAATAGGTCCCTTGTGACAATGTGATCTTGACGAAAGCTAGAAGAGAGACTTGCAAACAATTTCGGGATATAGGCTGCCTTAAGGCCGGTTGGGTGGTCACCATTCAGTCCGGTCCTTCACGGTGGTTCCTTGATGTTGGGCACTTGTTCTTGCTTCCTAGAGGCACTTGGTGTTCGGGTTTCGCTGCGGGATTCGCTTGTTACTCTTGGAGGTTGCTGCCACCTAGATGGCTTGGAGCAGCGAGGATCATCAAGCAGAGGTTGCTGATTGTCTCCGGCTCCGATCGTTGTGATTGTGAGGGGTTCTTGACCTTTCCCCGGTGGAGAGCCAAAAGGTACTCTAGTGAATTGCTCATGGATTGTGTGATCCTCATCTTGTGTTGATTGTGCGGCACCCTATTAAGGGTTTGGCTTGTGATGCCAATTAGCGCGTGAACCTCCAAGTTTGTGAATCGCCACAACGAGGAGTACCTTGCCGGCAAGCAAGTGAACCTCGGTAAAAAATCATTGTGTTCATCATTTGATTCCGAGGTGATTGATATTCATTGGTATTCATTATTATGATTGATTGGTTCATTCCTCGACTCAACGGTATAACCATCTTGCTCTCTCTTTACATTACCGCAAACTAATTGTCAAGCTCTTTAGTGTAGCTAGTCGTGAGAGCTTGTTAGTTTGGTTCTTTAGTTAGCTTTTGAGAGCACACTAACTTAGTGTAGTGACATAGCCATTGTGTGGATAGAGACTATAGAAACTAGAATTGTGGTAGGTGGCTTGCATTTTTAGTAGGCTAGCGCAACACTCGCTTCGCCTCATATTTGTCTAACCGGTTTGTTAAGTGTTGTTGTAGAAATTTTTAATAGGCTATTCACCCCCCCTCTAGCCATTAGGACCCTTCACCACTGACGGGTTCACTACCGCTCTAGGGCACCATTGGAGTGAGGGGTGGAAAGGGATGGGCCCGCTAGCGGCTAGTACCCGGGCGTACGAGCGCCACAGGCATCCCGGCCTACGTTCTAGTCTCGGTCGGTTTACAATCCATGGTTTTTCCTTGAAGAAAGACAGAGAGCCCTTAGGACTGGTCAAATGGACACGAGAACTATATGGATTGGGCCTAAGAATATAGAGTCGGTCACCAGCTGACCCAAACCGGACCCCCATGAATGGGAAGCCAGGGCCCCACTCGGACTAGCCCGTTAACAGCTCACGAGCAACATGTTTCGGCCATCGAGGAAAAACATGGCATGTCTCAGCCCCTCCGTTTTATCAAAAAATGTTTGAGCAATGACAATCACAAAGACAAGCTGACCCCTCGATCGGACCCCTGCAATGCGTGGGGGCTCGAGGGAAGTTGGACTCGCAAGGAGACCGAATACATGGTCGCAGGACGATGGCTCGGATCCTAGGGAGGTGTCGAAATCAAGAGAAATATTTTCCGACCCCCCGAATACTACGGTAACATGCCCCCAAGAAATCCGATCACGACAAAAGGGAATCGCCGTTCTACCAGGACATGCCGTGGGCTACAAAAGAAGGCCAAGGACCTTAGAGTCCTCGTGTCCAGAAAAGCCTCCAAAGGAGTATTCTACTCCTCCGTAGGCTCAGGGGCTACTGTCGGGCATCAATATTAGGGATACCCAAAGCAAGGAAGTTAGTGCCCATGTTAACTTCCCCGGATGGCTCGAGACGTATCAAAAGGTCTCACCTGACCTCAAGTCCACGGGCTCCGTTTTGCCCGACCCCTTGGGTGCGGGCTCCATCTCACCCGACCTCGAGGCCGCAGGCTTCGTCTTGCCCGACCATGAGGCCGCGGGCTCCGTCTTGCCCAACCCCAAGGCCATAGGCTTCGTCTTGCCTGACCTCGAGGCACGCGGCCTCTGTCTCGTCCGACCTCGAGGGCGCGTGCTCCGTCTCGCCTGACCCCTTAGGCAAAGGGCCCATGCCGCCTGACCCCGTGGGCGCCATTTCTGCCTCGCCCGACGGGGACCCATACTGCCGCCAACCACTCTAGGTCCAAGCGTATGTGCCTAGGTCAAAACTCTGACACCAGGGAAGAAGCGGGCACGCCTCGATGTAACCCGTAGCCATGATGGGACAAACCTGGGGGTTCACGTCAAGAACAGTGCCGGGCGTGCTGGTGCTATTCTGCCTAATCCTCATACGGACGCTGACAGGCGCGTGAATTCACCGGGCCATCCGTCGGGACGGAGTGGAATGCCATGATCGGCAGATGACATCTACACATGGCTCTAGTGATGAATAGGGCCGTGACGTGGAGCTGTCCCTATTGATATCTATAGGATCGACGGGACCCGCATGAAGGCGAAGAAGGACCCAGCGACCCTGGAAGCCTTCTTCTCCCTCTTGTTTTTCTCCTTTTCCTCCTCTATAACCTACACTTTCCCTTGGCCTATAAAAGGGGAAGCGATGCACCCCGTGAAAAGGGAGGCCGAGGCACATCTTTAAACAACAGCACAACACGAACATATGAGCACATGGCTGAGCGGCAAGCGAGCTCCAGCTCTCAATTCACTCCTTCCACCAGTGACTTCGGACCCTCTCCCTCTCTCGCCTGTTTGTAACCCCTACTGCAAACCTAGTGTCGGTAACACGAGCAGCAGCTAACTGGACGTAGGGACGTTTCGCCCGAACTAGTATAAACCCTTGTGTACTCCGAGCACACCATCTGAGCCAGACGCGCAAATAAAAATTTACTCGTCGGTGGTCCAAAACACCGACACCTCTCTACCGCACCGGTGCTACAGCTGCCCGCGTTTGACCATGCCTTCATCGTCGACTGCGATGCGTCAAGCACTGCCTTTGATGCGGTCCTTCATCAAGATACGGGACACCTGGCGTTCTTCAGCTAGCCATTTGCGGTGCGCCTTCACAAACTCATCACAGATGAGCATGAGCTAATCAGCCTTGTCCAGGCAGTTAGGCACTGGCATCTGTACTTATGGGGATGCCGTTTCGTCATGCCCATCAACCACTTCAGCTTGAAGTTCCTGGTGGATCAGTGGCTGTCCACCATCCCGCAGAACTAGTGGATCAGCAAGATATTTAGCTTTGATTTCGCAGAGGAATACCACTGGGGCTATCTCAACACAGTGGCTAACGCACTCGCGTGACGGGACATGAAGGAGATTGCCATCCATACTCCCTGCACACCGACATTTGCACTCTTCGACGACATTAAGAAGGAGCTCAACTCGCTACCAAAGGCGCACCCACATCCATGACCAGCTTCGTGATGGCGATCTGGCCTTCCCCAGTGCTCGCACAATGGCCTCATCCTCTTGACAAATTGTCTACGTGGCACCATCGTCCGCCACCCTGCCTCAAATTCTCTAGCTCGCCCATGCGCCGGCCACGAAGGCATTCAAGATGCTACAAGATTTAACTAGACATCATCCCTACACTAGCACCTCTATGTCTAGCTTATGTGCCCTACTTCTAATACTTTCACTAGTACGCAATGATGTTTAATCATGTTTAACCATAACATTTAGAGCATCGCTCTCATCCATTCATGGCATGTTCAATTAACCATGCATCATTCGCAAATGAGAAGCCAGATAAAGTGAAAGTTTCGACCCAAATATATGGTCTAAGCATGGTGGACTACATTGCCATGATATTCGTCCCAATGTGGCTTGTTGAAGCAGCGACCGAGCCACACTACCTCCTTGCAAGGGGCACTTCAACGGATATGGCTATCCAAGTGGTGGCTTACATGGCCATGGCACTTCTCCAAGCCAGGTGGGGGTGTTGGAGATGTGGCCTTTCCACCACTTTCCTAAGCAAAGTGTGCAACAAGATGTGATTGAGTTTGAGATTGTTCTGACAGACCTCAACTCGTATGAAAGGTGCATGGTGGAGTTGGTTGTGCCTCTAGATCGAATGATCCATTACCTCACCCCCTTGCTCGAAGATACTCAACATCGCTTCAACAATCTGCAGCACTCGCTTGAGCCATACCTATGGATGGACCAGGTGGCCTTGGCCAAGCTATTAAGAGAAGTAGTAGGAGCAGATGTGACCACACATGACCTGATCCGGAGAAACAGACGATTGCAGTCACATGCAGTCCCTAATGCAGTGACTATAATAGATCCACTTCTAGGACTGTGTAAGGTAATGACGCTGCTAATGAACTCCTGACGCCCAGAGCTTTGATAACAGTGCATACAATGAGATTGAAAAGCAAATATGACATCGTATAAGGGTGCAGGAGGCAGGTGCCCACCGAGCACCAACCAAAGAACACCAAAATTAAAATAGCCATTGAGAAGAGTATGAAGCAATGCACCACCTTGCCAATGATCTCATTGACCTGTTGTGGACTACCAAACGAACCTTCTGGCACTTTGTGTGCTTAAGTGCTCAAGTGTTCGAGTAGTAAGGGTGCAATCAGGTAAGAAAACTTCTTATTGCTATATGGTTTACTGCAACCAGGATTAATTTCATGTATGCAGCAAATGACTTATTTATTGCTGTTTTGTTCAAAACTTATCTACAATCACCAGATGCGTGCATGTTGAATTGAGCAGTTGAGGGCCTATGCAACGTTGGTGTCTAGAGAAGAATTTATACTTTGCACCTCTCACCGTTAACACTTAACTTCAATAATCTTTTAAAATGCATTAATTATTTAGAATTAAAGGAGATCAAATAGAAAACATGGATATGGATTTAACTAAATAGGATGATATTTGAGAAACAGAAAGCAAGTTAAATGAAAAAGAGATAGCTAGCCCAGCAGTTTGCAAGGGCGACTTGCTAGTTAACACTTCCACGTTAAAGTACAGCCAGGGTGTTATGTGTCGCCATGCGTATGTGGACCGTCTTGGTGGGTTGGGCCTTAAATGATTTTGGAATGCAGGATGTTGCAACTGTATTACATCAATTATTGTATTGTCTTTTTTTTATTTACCGTAAGCTCCACAAGTGTTTGAGGAGTGGTAGTTTATGAACTAGTATTTAATTCTTATGCGCAAACCTAAATAAATTCATATTGAGAATCGAATAGAGTAGCTAAGTTCAGCACATACCTTCACAGCATGCTCCAAGCTTGGTTTAAAAGCAGTGTCACCCTTAGCCACAAGCCCATCCACCTTTTTCTCGATAGCCATCCGACCAATGTCGGATATTTCTAAAATGCCAGTGGTATACTCTTTGATGACCTGATCGTTGAATGCTACAATGGCTAGGCGGTCGTCATCACCAAGCTGCCTTATTATGAACTTCATGGCATTTTTCAGCAGATCCAACCTAGATGACATCTCTGTTTGCGATGCTGCTGGCCAGCTCATGCTTTGGTTAATATTGATAAGTGTGACTAGGTCAATGGGGGCATGGTTCTTCATAGATGAGGGTGCTTCAACGCGCACCACTGCTGCCCCATTTAATGTTAATGCGCGTGAGTAGTCTATCAGAAGTATAGGGGGGCTCATGGAAATGCTTACTCTGACTTTCTCCGGGGTCATCTTGATCTGCATTCACAATTTAGAATTAGAGAAGCATCTGAATTTCACTACCACTACCTTCTGTAAAGTAAACAAGTGATGTGTGCAACCACATATTTTAAACATAGCATACATATATAATTTTTGAGCGATAACCATATATAAGGGAGGATCTGAGGACAACATATTAAATAAATAAATAAATACATAAAGAACAAGGCAGTTTATATTCTAGCATTAAAGAAAGAATGAGAGAAATTTACTAACAGAGTCCAGCCACGTGGAAAAATGCTGCTTCAACTCTCCCGTCACCATTTATATTGGATGGACAAAAAAATGCTGATTCAACTCTCCGGTCACCATTTATATTGGATGGACAAAGGTGATATGTGTAGATTTAAATTGAAAATACTTTCATAATGTTAAAATTTCATTCCATTAGAAAATGTAGCTCAACGGAATTTGGTAGCCAAATTGGTGTCTCGGAGATTGTAGCAAGAACCAAATATCTCACACTGTTGTCCACTAGTCCACCGACCCATGCTGTTGCATGGGCACTTAGAGAGATATATATGTTAAAAATTTGTGGAAAAGTTTTAGGCTCATAACTACCCAAAATTTCTTATCTTTGGTCTCTCTTATTTGCTCATATTCTAAAACAATACTTATGCAAATACTTTCTTATTTTTATATGGATGTGATGGAGTTTAGTTTACCAGTTGCTATATACACTTTTTCAATTCAAATTCATAGTTGTTCCCTTAGCATTGCATATCCATGCGTGTTTGACATGTATTTAGTTAAATTCCCACTCAAGTGTTCATATTCTAACACAACAATCATATAGGAACTTTCTTATTTTTATCCAGATGAGATAAACTTTAGCTACCAATTAATTTATATACCTTTTCATCCTTGTTCATATTTTATTCCTTTTCACCATGCCTCTATGTGTGTTTGACATGTATTTAGTTAAATTATTAGATTCAGCTATGTACTTGGCATGGAAATCTCTATGCTTATCGCTTCTTGCATATATGTATACATGGTCTGTATGGTAATGCACATATACTAACAGTGGAAGAAGTGAGTAATTCAGAAGCATATACAAAGTACTTTGTGATATTTTTTGCCTTGTTAGACATAGGTCATTTAGATCAGATTTTTTAGGTTAGTTTATTTGCATTATTTTGAAAAACCTGCGAAGGTGGATAATTTAGATGCAAATTTAGGGGGTAATAAGTGAAGATTAGGGGATTACTTTAGGTTGTTTCTAATAATGGCAGTAGTGAGTAATTTAGAACAAACTTTAGGAGGTTAATTTAGACTATGTTCGTAATGACAGCAGTAGATAATTTTTTTTAAAAAAATAGAATAGATCCAATGGCTTGTATTATCAATAATGACTACAGTCTATGAACTGAAGGCTGGGTGTTTTTATTTTTATTTTTTGAGAACTTCTTAGCTTATCTCATGAGGATTAATGTGGAGTTTCACAGGAAGTCTCCAATTAATAATAGTAAGGAAAGTAACTAATTGATTACATACTATAAACAACGAGTAGTGCTAGCTGTATTGGCTGACAGTTTCAACATACAAATGAATAAGGTACATTTTACAAAAAAATTAATCAAGTAAATAATTTTTTGGTTTCAGAAAGTCTGAATTGTTTGTTAGGTCTGAATAGCTAGAAAACCACAGCGATTTATTCATTAAATTAAAGATGAGGGAAGAGGGAAGAACAGGATTCTAACAGTTCTACAAAATGGACCGGTTATAGAGACAAAGTAGTACTATCTTTAGTCCAAAATAGATTTTGTCGTAGTAGAATGTCTGCAATCAAAATTTTAAAAACTTAGTCATTATTAAACATTTAACCACTATTGTCCATCAAAAAGTACTTTTGTTGTATGAGATGGGCTGGAAGTTTCAACATTAAAGGTATTGCATAATAATAATTTTATTGTTTTTAATACATTTAAAAAATTGTAATGCAACCAGCGGATATAATAACTATACTTTCATTGTGGAAGAAATGGGAGACCTCTTGAATAATGGTGGAAAATGGGTAACAGTAATCCAAACTATCGGGTACCTGTATCCGCATTACTTTCTAAAATATATACTAAAATGGACGTATCTCAATTAATTTTTAATTGTTTTTAGTATCTAATTCGGATCCATATCTGTTATAAATGTGGATATGGATATATATAAAACAGTCTGTATTGTGAAGAATAAATTACTTGTTGAGACTATGCTCTGGTCTCTAGACTTGACTTTAATCTCTTGAATGTGGATCCAGGTGGCTGGACCACTATTTTTGAAACTATCTAAAAATAACCCGCATTCAACTTAAAAGTTTAAACTTTTTGATGACCAATGATATTGATTTTAATATGACCAATAATATATAAATATTAATTTATTATGACTAATTATATTAATTTTAGTGTTACTAATGATATTAATTTTAATTAATATGTCTAATGATATATAATTTAACTATACAATGGCCCATATTCAAGTTGTAAAAGTTGAAAAACATTAAAAAGTTGTATATATGACTAATGACAACAAGTTCTACATGCTCCATGTGAGTAGGTGAGCCGTAAGCAGATTTTGGACATAGCAAGGGATTACAGATGGTATTCAGAGTATCGACCCTCACTGCATGTGCATGTGTTGTAATGTACATTGCCTGAGGAGGGGTACAATGCACACACTCTTACATTGCCCGTGCAGGGTAAGAGTAGCACAACCATGTATCGAGGGGTGATTTTGTTATTGTAGTTGGTGAGTTTAGTATCACCTTGGATGTTTAGGAGTGTGAGAGCCAGCTTATAACTCTTGTTGTTCCAAACCTAGCACCTCTAGGTTAACTCTTTTACACGAAGCGAGAATGAAAATGTAAGAGAGGTACTATGCATTTGCAGGCTCATTTCACATGAGGAGATAAGCAGAATTTTAACGCAGGGTGTTACGTTAGATCAATTATTCAAATTGTATATACAGAATAGGATTGTAGGTTTTATTGCTTTGGTCATGGAATTCATTATCTGTAACATTACTTTAGATATATATTTTTCACTCACTGTACCATTTGCTTTGTCAGCCTTTATCATGATGTCCCATATTATCTATTTACCAAATTAATATTCTCTCACGTCTTTTTTGTAAGGCAATGTCCCTCCGCTTAGTTTCTGAGAGCATATATATATATATATATATATATATATATATATATTGGCTGGCCGGTTTGGTTTATTACGTCAACTAGCCTAGCTGCATGTCTTGCGAATGAATGTTCGCCGCACTTTAGAAGGTGCACACAGTTATATCAACGCCACTAATGTAACACTATAACCCTCATAAATCTCGACATGCGCATGCCCTTTAATCCCTCTCTTAGCTTTCCAAGCGTTTTTTACTTCGCGATATTCATGCGCACAGGGGATATGCATATAGAGCTCCATCTTATTGTCATATGGTCTCCAGGCAATTTAATAGCTCACCCATATAACAGTTAGCTATAGATACATATTACACCACTAAAACCTATCACACCTCTGTCCTCTCATTCTCGCACCATGCTTGTTGAAGCCCGTGCTGCAGCTAGCTATAGATCTGCAACCCGCTTCCTCTTCTTTTTCCTCTAACACAGCACAAATCTGATGTGCTAATTTCTATAGCTCGCTTACACTACCTTACTATACTTGCTCATTCGCATACAGCAGCAAGTAACTGCCTACGTTACTCCACGCAAGGAAGCCAAGCGCTGAAGTAAAAGCGTTACTGCACGCAAGGAATCAAGCGCTGAAGTAAAATCAACAAAAAGGGAAATGTTAACGTCCACTGACAGCACCCCAGCACTCCAAAATCTACGGTATTTTTTTTCCTTTCAAGGAAAATAGAACAAATCACAGGAAAACAAAACAACAATCAAATCCTGATGCCATCTATGTGCATCTCTATCCACAACCACGTCTCCGGTCAGCTATCACAGATCACAAACGAAGAGGGGTTAGTCAAAGAACTTAGGTTATGCTTTACTTCGACAAAGAATAGAAGGCGAGTACCCCATTTTTTCTGCTCATCAAACTTATTGAATAGAATCAAATAGAAAGACCATTTTTTCTGCTCATCAAACTTATTCTGAATTTTAGAATGAATCTAAGGTATTCGATTTTATTAGGTTTTATTTCCTGCCAAGAAGACTGAAAAGAGGTATGATTATTTATTGCATAAGCAAATAAAATTTTCTTTGTATGATAATCTTTTAGAATACATGTTTTATATTATACAACTAAAACATACGAATTGTCAACATCTACCTGGTAGGACCAAAACACTCATGCGATCCATGACTATCTCTACAACTAAAGCATACGGCTTGTCAACATGTACCCGGCAGGACCAAAATATTCATGCGATCCATTGACTATCCGGCATAAAAAACATCTCAATCAATTTATGTTGCACCCGTTGCAACGCACGGGCACTCATCTAGTTTTTAGAAAAAGATGACTATTGTGAATGGATTTATTAATATTTATTTCTTGGGTCCCACCGTTTTACTGCCCCTTGCCTGGCGGTCTGCGCCTGAATTAGGATACAGTAGAAATATATCATGCGGTGGTGACACCAACCCGCACTTCCTGGCTCGTATGAATAAATATAAATATAAGCATACGCTACAAAGGCATATTATATATTTATCGATGTAGCGCCATCCCAATTGCACATGAATTTGGAATTAAGGAAATTCATAAATCAATAATATGTACCTGCTTTCAGAATATGGCAGTTAACAGAGACAGGGGGAGATGATCCGATCACCTTGATTGGCTCAAGAAGACTGAAAATCAACGGAGGGAACCAAGGGTCTTTGGATCTTATCTGAAGCACAGCTCTGGTGGAGTTTCTTGTTTTGAGGACCTGGAATTAATTTGATGCGGTAGTATCGGTTAGTGAGGAGGAAGCAAGAAGTAACAATTAGATCGACAAGTTAAGCAGTGAAG